ATACGACGGTCAGCGAGGAGAAAAAAAGAAAAAGATGAAAAAAAGAAAAAAGAGATGAGAAACAAACATCTTCAATCAACTTTTTCACCACACCGTCGATCGTTCTTACTTATTTCTTTCTCTCTCTCTTTCTCTCCTTCTTTCTCTTTTTCTCTCTCTCTCTCTCTCTCTCTCTCTCTCTCTCTCTCTATCTATCTATCTATCTCTATCTTTATCTCTCTGTGCCTATAATTTATTTATTTATTCACGAATTATTTATTTTTCTGTTCCTCGACTGCTATAAAAATATCTGTCAATCACGTTTTGTCGTCAAGCACGTGAATTATTAAGAAACGACAAAAAACTTGGAAAGGTGGAGAAGTTTAATGTGTCTTCTGCAAAGTGAATGGTTAATTAGATTAGATATCTAATTGAATCGAAAGATAACGAGAATTGTGAAAGAACGAAATCGATAATAACTGTTACTGAGATGACTATTTACTATTAATATTATTATCGTTATTATTATATTATTATGATTAATATTAATACTATAATTATTATTATTACTATTATTGTACTATTATCATAAACGTCATACTTATTATGTTATTATTGCAATCATCGTCGCTACTACTGCTAACTGATAAACATTATTGTCTACCGTTTAATGCTAGAGCGTGTCATCATCATCATCATCATCATCATCGTTCTCTTTCACAGTGCGAGTCAAAGCCTTTTTTAATACGTACATACGTTCATACGTAAGAACTCGAAAGTATCTATGGAAATTTGGGATAAGATGGATGGAACGGTAGAAGGAAAAAAAAGGGATGTAGAAAGAAAGATAAAGAATAGTAAAAGAGAGGTGATGACGATGAAGTATGTACCTATGTATTTATGTATTATTTATTGACGAGTAATAACGACCAGCTATGTATCTAGGTAGGATGTTGAAATTATGAAATTAAATTTAACAAAAAACAAAGTATAACAAAATAAATGAGCGCGATAATGAAAGAATGATTAGAGAAAAAGAAAGAGAAGAAGAGAGGGAAAGAGAAAGTGAGAGAGAGAGAGAGAACAGTTAAAGAAGGAGAAGAAGGAGAGAACAAATGGAATTTAATGTCAAAGTAAAAAGAGAGATAATTAAATAATTAAGCATTAATAACGTGGAGAGAGAAAAAAAATAAATTCTAGGAATGAGCTTTCATTAAGAACAATTTAGATTGAAGTACGATGGGAGAAAGGATATATATATGAAAGCGAAGTAAAAAAGAAAAGCGGAGATAGCGAAGTAGATTTCGAAAAAAAAGAAGAAAAAGAAAGAAAAAAAAAGAAAAAGAAGAAAAGTAGAAGAAGAAGTGAAAAAAAGAAAGGGAAAATACGTGAAAAAATGTGAGCTTCGACTCCTATGCGAGTTTCTAAATTTTGATGCTCGTAAAAGGTAAAGTGGGGGTGAGAATTCACAATTATTGGCGTGGATACTCTTTTTTGTTTTTCGAAAATATTGATTGAAACTTGGAATCGATTCATCGAAAGCAAGAAAGAAAAAGAGGGAGAAAGAGGGAGAAAGAGAGAGGAAATGGGAATAAGAAGGAAAAACAAAACGCTTCGCGTAATATGAAACTAATAAATTTCTAATACGGACTCTAGTCAAGAAATCTCGTTTCCTAAACGTAAAAAAAAAAATAAAAAAAGTAAAAAAAAATATCATCTAGTCATTCAATCGAAAGGTTTATTGTTATGAATGTGTAATGCCTAGACAGTGTTATATACGACAACATTTTCTTCGCCATTTTATAAGGTCGCAGTTCTCACCCCTCGAAGCGCATCGGCGCATCGCGTTTTATTTATTTTATTTCATTTGATTTTTTTTTTTCTTCATATAAACCAAGTTTAAAAGCAAATAAGTAAAGTAAAAGAGAAAAAAAATACCAAGGAACATAAAAAGAATTAAGATGAAGAAAGCTAAAAAATAAATAAACAAAACAAAACAAAACAAAAAAAAATAATAAACTTACTGTGGAGTGTTCATGGTGCTATGATTATTATTATTATTATAGAAATAACAATGTTATGCTATATGATACAAATAATAATATAATAAATATACACTATACCTTATAGAGAGCGTATCTCCCTGTCACTTCTCACATGCGTCCACAACAAGATGGTTAATTTATATTTCATTCTTTTTCTTTCTTTTTTTTTCTTTTCTGATTTCTCTTCCCTCTCTTTCGCTAGATTTACTCTATTTACACACGAATATGTGTAATCGTCCAAAATAATCGATTTACCCTAACGGCCTAGATCATATATATATATATATATATATATATATATATATATATATATATATATATATATATATATATATATAATTACGAAACTATGATTAGAATACTATTTAAATAATGCCAGAGAAAAGTGTATTTATGAGAGAATAAATAATAAAATGCAGAGATAAATAAAAAACAAATTTGAAAAATAAGAAACTATATACAATACTTTAGAAAAAAAAAATAAAACCCCATGTAAGAAAAGAAGGAGGTAAGTTTTTAATGTAAGTTGAGGTAAACAAAAAAGAACACTTTTTATGTGATGCTTGAAAATTTAAAGAAAGGAAAAAAAAGAACAAAACAAGAGTAAAAACGGAAAACGATTTATTATGTTTATTAAATATCAATCGATTTACAATAACTTCATTCATATTTCGGACAATGCAGTAATGATAATTTTTTGGAATCGATCTGAATCGATTTTAGAACCTGGTATTATCCGGCATCTTAACGAAATAGGCCACTTTATCTTCAGCTACTCTGTAATTATGAATCCATCTCGATCCCTTTCTAAGACTACCATCTATACCATCTCTCCAAACACCAGCAGGTAGATACACTTCTCTCTGTCTACTACCCGAATAGAGTATAGGTGCTACGATCAATTCTTCACCTACGGAAAATTCATCAACAACTACGTGACAAGCTGTATCAGCTGGATCCAACATCCAAAGAGGTCTAATAATCGGCAAGCCTGTGTCTAAAGTTTCATTCGCATATTTTTTTAATAACGGCGTCACCGTTTTTTGTCTCAATGTCGTTAACCTCTTCGCTATTTCTAAAACCGAATCATCAGAATATTTGCTGGGTAAATGTGTGAAACGTATAACAGGTAAGAAGGTAGACAATTGGAGCCATCTAACGTATAGTTCTTTGTCTGGGAGATTGACCTCAAAATCATTGTCAGGGTTATCGTCAGACATAGGTAAAGCTACATCACCACCTACAGCACCTGGCATTATAAACGGATAACCGATCATTCCATAACTCAGAACGGTTGGTATCACAGTTTTGATAGCCTTCCAAGAGGAAGAAAAAGGTGGTAGAGATACGAAGACCGGTGCCCTGGGCCTAGATATAGCACTAGAGACACCGATCACTGGAATTAATCCTAAAATCGATTTAGTGAAAATCGTTTTATAATGATCGGGATTTGTTAAAGCTTGCTCGCATTTATAATAATGCGGCATGTCTTGTGCGGTGCCTAGATCAAGGTAGAAGGAATCAACGTGATACTTCGTAATTAAACTTTCTAATTTTGCTTGAAGCCATGGTAAAGTTTTGTTATTAGTAATATCCAAAACACCAGCGCTGTTGCTCTGCTTATATCTAAAAAGAAAAAAAGAAAAAAATTAAAAATAAGCGAATAAAAGACACAGATTTTTTATTAGTAATTAAAATTAAGAGAATATGCCTGGTCAAAGCTGGAATCCTTGGATCGCTGCCTCTTTCCGAGATCAAGAGCCTGTTAGCCACAGCATCCTTAAAGTTTATCGACTCCGTAGATATAAATGGTTGAATACTAAAAACGATTCGGAAACCACGCCGATGAATGATATTAATAGTTTCTTCCATCGATGGAAAACGATCTTCGTCTAAAACGAAGTCACCTGGACTGGGTTGCCATTCCTCGCTCAATAATACATGACCTTGACGTAAAAAGCCCAAAGCTATGACGTCTTCGGTATAATTATAAATTGCGGCTTCGTTGGTCGGTGAAATTTGCCAAACTGGTTCGGAAAGAAGAGAATGAACGGCATGCAACTCATCTGGTTTCAATCCATCCCATAAAGATTTCTCTGCCATGGACGAGTGAAGGTTCTTCATGTTGTCGGTAGCACAAATGGTATAATTTAATTGTGGCATTGGCGTTAGATGATTGATATAGGCAAAAGCATCGTGCTTGGCCTGGAGACAAAAGTCATTACTACGATTGGCTCTGATGGAAACATAAAGAGGCGTTTCGGGATCTATTAAAATGGTGGCTCCTTTCGAGTTGAGAAAATATCTCTTCAAAACGTTACCGAAAGAATGTTTCCTGATATCACCGGTTATGAAAGGGCTCAGATCTAATCGGCCACGTTCCAAAGGATATGGCATACTTTGAATCTGTCCTGCACCATACCAATGTCCTCTTTTCATCGACCAATCAAAACAATCTTTTGGATTATAATAAGGACTCAAACTCTGCCAAGTGACATGATAACAATGCATGTCCTCGCGTTTTGTATGAGCTAAATAAAGACGCGTTTGTTGTAGCCACTCAAGACAGACCGAATCTTGTCGTTGATGATGCGGTAGACAAGGAAAGACTCCTGTATTAGCTGGTATACCTTCTCCCAATCGAGCAGCAATAATTTCTGAACCGGTACTACTGTACACGTGCATCACTCGTTCGTTCTTATTGAATCTAAAAAAGAGAGAGAACGGAAGCGATACAGAGACAATAAAATATCATTTTTATTTATCTCTCCTCGAAAAATGATACTGTTAAATCATTATCAGAAAGTAACCCTCATTAAACCCATTAAGTACTTACTTCCTCGTAAAATTTGTACGAATATCTTTATCGATAATTTGATCGAATATCTATATATTTGAAGTGAATGAAAAAATTAAAATACTTACCTGAACTTGTCAAAGTATGCTCTTTGTAGAACATGTTGCGTGTAATAAATGTGGGCAAATCCCACGAGGAAGACCACACATAGAAATAATATTCCAACGAACGATCGGAGTCTACAAATCATATTAAAAATAAAAATCGATATTGAAAATACAATCAACAAAATAATGTAAATGTACATAGCATATAATATAAATACCTGTAGTCCGCATTTTGTCGTTTTTTACTACTTCGTAAAGCTTGTGGAATTGATAATTGAAGTTTTTCTTTGAGCAAGCTGCTTATACTATTAACACTGGTAATTGTCGAATTGGTACTTTGTGCTCCACCTGGGAGATCTATGGGTTCGTTACCAAGCTTTTGTGACATAGATGGTGATGCAGCTCTGCTCTTTCTTCTTGGAGGTGCTTGCAATGGTATTCTTCACAAAGAAAATAGTAATATTAAATAATTTTAACATTTGTGCGAAATTTGACAATTTATTGAATTGGTCAGTAAGTAATTTCACAATTTTTCGGATTTTATAACTAAATAAATAACATGAATATTTTATTATACAATACAATATATTCTGTAATATAATATAATATTGATTAATATATTAATATATTATTATAGAAGAGATAGAGCATAATTAATAATATATATAATTATTTATATTATATTTAATATGATTTATTTGAATTTAGACAAAAATGCATAAATCATTTGAATACTATAATATTAATACTAAATACTATTTACATTCGTAATATAATAAAATACTAATGCTGTTTATTAAGATATTATATAATTATTTATATCATATTTAATATAATTTATTTAGATTCTAACAAAAACAAATTATTTCAATACCATACCATTAATAATAATATAATTAAATACTAGTGTCGATTTATTTAGATTTAAACAAATTATTTTAATGTTATAATACTGGTAATAATATTTATGGTAAATAGAAAATTAATATAATTTGTTTAAATATGAAATATTAAAAATCCCGAAATTACTTATCTACTAACCAAATACTTTTTCTGTCAATAACAATAACAACAACACACTTGAGCTGTACCTCTGTAATGAAATCGCACTTCCAACATCGTATCTAGGCATCATTTTGATAGATCTTTTTTTTTCACTTGCGTCTTATGGTAGTCGTACTTTTTAGCTTTATTAAATGATCTCATCTATTTTAAAAACTGATCGATGAAGTCACGTTATACAAAATGAAAATAAGAAAAAACAAAGAAAAAAAATATGATAACACAATTATTTTAATAAACATCGACAAAAATGATCGAAATAAACTTGCGAAACTCTGCTCGATCTTATCATCGTCAAATTTCCGATCATTCGTAACAAATGCATCGGGAATAAGTAAAACAAGAGAAATACTGTAACTAGATTAGATGAGAACAGTAAACGTTTGTCACGTATGTACGAGACTCGACTGTCGATTTTCTCGTATGCGGGGAAAAGACTCCGAGAATAAGAGACTAGTGATAACCCTCGGGCGATATAAAGGAGGTCGAACTCGTCTCGATGATCCTCCGAATGGCCTTGAACACTCACTAGGTAATTTGAGCGAATCCAAACCCGTTCACGACTGTAAACTCGTTTTTATATCTTCATTCGATGGAAAATTGAACTCTTTATTATTATAGTTTACTACACTTACGGATAAATCGTTTACGTCAAATCATTTTAACGAATAAAATCGAATAATCGATAAAAAGAATCCATTCTAATTCTATTCTAATGCTATTCTAACTCATCTTAGAACGAATAATTTTGTTAAATTAAATGCTTTTTTATCTATATATTTTTTAATTCGTCTTAAAACACGAATAATGTTATTGATTTACATATTTTCTTATGTATATATATATATATATATATATATATATATATATACACATATATATACATATATATATATATATATATATATATATACTCATATATATACATATATATATATACATATATATATAGAGAATATATATATATATATATATATATATATATATATATATATATATATATATAAAGCAGGAATAATGTAATTAAATTAAAAACTGGTTTATGTCCATTCTATTCTACTAACTTACAATTTAAAATACTAATTAACTAACTGTAATTTATTATTCATCAGAATTAATTTTTAATTAATTTTTAATTTATTCGAAAAACATGATCATCAATCGAAACGTTGGTTTTGATAATTAATAATGTTTTATTTCTCTCAAATCATCCTATTAAACTGGTTGTTTAATTTTTTCTTTAATTTTTATAATTACGTTTTCAAGAACGCTTTCGCACATTCTAAACGAAACACATGCGTGCATAAATATATATACACACACACACAGACAGATCGAAAGAAAACCGGATAAATCCACTTTCAGTGAAAATCGAGGTACGGTAACAGCATCGGTAAAATGGTAAACGCGTGTTTCTCATTGGAAAAAAACATTCTTAAGGTCACTTGAAAAAAGATGTATATATATATATATCGATATATCAAACACATACTTTGCTAATTCCTCGTCATTGGCTTCCTCTTCCGTTTCAGAACCGAGAGAGCTTCCATTTGGTGTCGAGCAACTGTTGCTGAAAGTCACACTGCTACTGTCACTCTCGGCTCTTGTAAATTTTGATGCAGTACCCTGGAAGAACACACCTGAGTAATTATCAAAGATAAAATTATATAAATATATATATATATATATATATATATATATATATATATATATAAAGACAAATAAATGAGAAAAATTCTTTGGAATTTATCAAACATTCGTGAAAATAACAATCACATCTTATTTATAAAATTTAAAAAATATTAAATAAAGGAATTACTATCTCTTATTTATTAATTATACGATAAAATAAGCAACAATAAAATAATCAAAAAAAAAAAACAAAAAATTCTAAATAAATAAATATAAATTTGTTGTTCAAAAAACTTGTCAAATTCACTTCTAACATTAAATAGTTTTACTTTAAACTATGATATTTTTTATCATGATTAAATTATTTAGATAAAGAAATCGATCTCGATCGATGGGATAGAGATATGGAAAGTAAAGAACTCGAACCGAAGATCGACGAATCGTTATCACCGAGTAAGTTTTATTTGTGTCCTTCTTCATGTCTCAATTCTTCCCACTCCCACTTTGATCGCGACCTTATTTCTCTCTCTCTCTCTCTTTCTCACACACACACACACACACACACACATATACTCTTTCTCTCTTAAAGACGATTTACAAGCTGGCCAGATTTCTTGCGTAGAATTTACGAGACGGGAAAAACCGAGTTGCTTGTCACTCCAACGAACACGAACGACTAATACACGTGAACTTTGCGCTAACGTTGCATTCAAAGATCCTGCATTAACATGGCTGAAGGATGTTAAGTGTTGCATAATTGAAAGAACACACTTTGACAGATTTTATACTTTGAAGATAATATTATCAAATTCGAGATGTAATTTTTTTTTCTTTTACTTCGTTCATTTTTCATGAAAGAAAAACAAATTTTTACACGGGAAAAAAATTTCTTACGCAAAAGATTTTTTGACGTCTTTGGTTTAATAATTAGATAATAACAAATTTTGTAAATATTTACAGAAAAAAAATAATGAATATAGAAACAAGTATGTACATACCGGATATTTTTCCGTTAATATTTAACATTTTTTTTATCATCAACCATTCGTCGATATATAGTATTTCGTAATAGTATTATTTTTTGTTATTGATTATTTCTATGGTCAAAAAAATATATATATATTGAAATTTATTATTATTGTTTTATATTTTATTTTAACTCTTATTTATGTATAATATAATAATATATTTCTAATAATCTAATATATTTAATATATTATTTAATATATAAATTAAATGATTTTCAAATCACTGATTGTATAATCAATGAAAAATTTATCTTTTCAATATTTAAAATGTTTAAATTTAATAAATCAGTTTCACAATCAATATGACTTATTTAATCCACTAAAAAAATGTTTTAAACAAAAGTCTTGATTTATTTATGAAACAGAGAATCGATTGAAAAGAAAACCATTAATTATATTTAAGATACATAATATAATAGTAGAATGCTAAATGTTACTAGGTGATATTAAAAATCAATTACTCTTTATCGAAACTTTTTAGGCCAATTTTGTTTCAATCGAATCTAGCTTGCAATTTATTACTTACAATTTGAGAAAAAGATTAAAACTATTATAAAAATTAAAACTAAAAAATCTCATAAAGAATAACTGATTTTTAAAATCATTGAGAAACTTTGAGCTCAGTTTGTATATGTTATTTCCTCATCACGAATCTAACAATGTTCTAAACCCACCTCATATATAGCTTCCAACCTAGTTTTGGTTTCGAACTTATCGAAAGCCCATATCGAGTTATAATTACAATCCTCGCCATCTTCTTTGTTCATGGAAATTAAAAGCGGTTGTTTTTCCACCGCTCTCAAAGACTTGTCGTTCATATAAAAACTCGATTAGAATACTTAGATCAATGATAAGAAAGTGAGACTGTGTGTGAAAATCACGTTTTTAATTTCGTAAATATATGTACTTGTATATGTAAGTATTTATACGTTTCAGATTGAAATGCGCCGAATAAATGGAAAATGAAGATTCGTGCAAGGACGAATGTGAACTTCGATCAAACGAATTTAAAATTAAACTTATTTTTGTAATAATAACTATGAGAAATCTATCACGTAAATATGTTTTGTGACTTTACTATTCTCGTGTTTATATATACTGACAATAATGACTAAATGGTCAAGGATACACACGATGTTATTGTTTCATTTTGGAAAGTATTGTGACGAATTGAAAAGATAAATATGGGAATAGTAAAATAATAAGATCGTCTTATTTTGAATTTTTGAAGTTACTCAAATATTGACGGTATAAAAAAAATTTGAAAATGGATATTGTAATTTTCATTATTTTAAAATAAAACGATTACGACTGATTATTATACAGTGATAGATAATTATATTGTTTGTCAAGTATTTAGATATTTTATAAACATTTATGGATATATGTAATTTATGGAAAATAAATATATCTGGTTTATGGAAAAAATATATATAGTTCATATGTTATTTAAATTCGAATAACAAGTATATCGGTAATTAAAAAAAAATATATTAAACTGTGTTAATAAAATGAAATAGTATTTTGTCGTAGCACTTATAGAAAGTATTAATAAGCTTATATAAATATATGTAAATATATATAATATATATAATATACAAATAAATATATATAAATATAATTATGTATGATCTTTTTTATAGAATTATTTTATGGAAAAATAACATATACTTCTATACAATTGTTAAATCTGTTTTGTTTTACGTGCATCCTGCAAATTGAAATCGAAATTTACCAATCCTAAGATGAGTTAGTTATAAAATTTAACATTTTAGTATAAATATTAAATACTTTTTCGTGACACTCTATAGCTAAATATTTGCTATTACATAATATTGTAACGAATATATGTACCATAAATAACTTTATCAGACCTAGTGAATTTTACAAAGAGAGAGAGAGAGAGAGAGACAATTACCTTTCGATCATCTATACGAAGATCATCCATCTCGTCCAATTTGCTCGGCATCGATATACTCGTTTTTCTAATTCTTGCTGCAGATATTCCCGTTTTTTGCGAAATATTATCTTCCTTCGTAGAATCGTTAAATGTGTTTGTTAATTGTACAAAATTTTCATTCGGTCTGAAACTCGTCTCCGTTGTTCCATCGATTTCCTTCGCATTCGTACTATCTGAAAATTTATAATAATTATTGTCATGTTCCATTCCCTTTAACGAAAAAAATTAAATAAAACTGTCTTATCTTTGACGATTATAAATTTTATCGATAACATTTAAATTTTAGTATTCGCAATATTATCAAAAGATGATACTTAAGTTATATCAGAACAATAATTTAAAATAAAATTTGTAAAATTTATATATAATGTGTTATAGACTTTCATTTTTTTAGGAAGTATTTTTAACCCAAAATTCTTTCATTCTTCAATTTATAATATTCTTATCTGAGAATCTCATTTAAAAACTTGTATTTTATTTAAACAATTATAAATAAATAATAATACATATTTATTAACAAACCGTTGTACTATTTGATGATTTTTATCTCATAAAAAACAAAAGTAATTTATTCCCTTCGTAAACACTTTAAGAAATAAAATCATAAAATAAATAATGTATCAATAAATATTTAAATTAACAACTGTATGTATTTTGTTCTAGTATATATCAGATGCAGCGAAAGCACACGAAAGTCTGGCGTACTATCGCTCTGTAAACTTTCGCAAAAAAACATACACACTGTGTCGGTAGCCAACCGACAACGACGACCATGGCTATAACAATGCGCGGCAAGATCAAAGAGTTTCTCTTCTACTCGTTGCCATAATCCAAGCATGCTTCTCTAATCGCATTTAACTTCGCATCGTTAACTTGATATGAAGCCATTCTTCAAAAAGCATTTTTTTTAACTCAAATTCTCTCGACCGAATATTACAAGATTTAATTGCGATAAAAAAAAAGAAAAATTGAGAGTATGTAATTATTGTGAATAAATCTTAAAAGAAAAGATGTGCGATTGTACAACAGAGAAAGACGATGAAAAGGGAACACCAAAAATGGTGACTCTTTTTGAAAAATGTCAGAAACCTTATAGACCGGGAAAAAATATCGAGGTTTATAGTATAAATGATGACTTGAATGATAAAAAAGATGGGATTCAATTTTTACAAAAAGAATCAAATGAACACGATGTAGTATGCTGCAATTCGTTGCAACAACTCTCTGAGTATTCCAGCGACTCGAGTCGATTGGTAAGAGATAATATGATTAGCACATACCGCAAAATTAACTATGATCCTATATTTTGTTGTGTCCAAAAAAAAAATTATACTGGGTTGGTCAATAAGTAATTTTGAAATTTTCAGGGAAGAATACTAAATTCTGTATTATTTATTTAAATAAGAGGCAAAGAAAAATTTTGACTTATTGATCAATCCAATCTAGTATGAAATTTATATAATAATAATATATAGCATTAACACTTATAATATATATTATATATTATAAGTGTTAATGCTATATATTACAAATGAGTATTTTAATAATAAATATTTTATATTTATTTCTTTCACTTATTATATATAATAAGTGAAAGTATAATAAAATATATAGTATATATATATATGTATATATATATAGTATATATATATATATACAATATAGTATAATAAAAATATAAATATATTCTATAATATACTCTTATAGAATAATCATTGTAAATATATACTATATATATATTTACAAATATATACTATATATAATAATTATACTTTATCTTCATCTCTATTTGACGATAATTGCTGTATTGACTGTATTGCTGTATTGACTGTATTTCTGTATTGACGACATGAACAATAGTTGTATGGTTTTTGATAATTGCTTAACAAGCTAATAAATTACAATAATTGTTACAAACTAATAAATAAGGTTACATTTTTTCGGTTTTGCGATATTCTTCAATTACCAATAACCTCTCGAATATTTTGAGTAGCCAAACTGTAACAATTTTCCAAATAATTTTTTCACAGTTTAGATTTATCTGAAATATATTGATTAGTGTTCTTTATAAAAATTTCTCTCCATAGTTTATCATTGAGATATCACTGAGGCATGTCGATAGCTATCATAGTTTCATACATATCATTGTAAAAATCATTTTTCCTCACCGAACTGACTTCATCTTGTGGATCATTACTTGTAATAACAGAAGTAATTCTATTACATTACCTACCAATTCTTTTGTGCGTAACTGTATGTATATTTTGTCTTAGTTGCAATCTTTTTTCGAATCTTCTTGTAGCATGCTTTACAATATATCTCTTTTTGCAATAATATAATTATATTTCACAGAAGTCAATCCATTTCGTTAAATATCATACTGCCATATGTATTATATATTTAACATTGAAAAATATGATATAACGACACTACTAATTCAATTGAACTACAGAGAATTAATGTGCATCGTGACTCCACCTATCATAAGTACATCATATTATCGTCTATGTTTAGTTTCTCATTGTATGTCAATACACCATTAACATGAAATTAGATCATGTTATCGATCATCAATTTTGATAGATTGTCACTCAAATATATACTTATGCAAAATCTATGCATATAAGCATGAAATATTAATTTATGCAAAACATATTCAATATAGAAAATATGCCAAATAGAAACTATATTTTTAGAATTTCTTAATGATACAAAACTTTCTGATGCAGATTCCATAACTTTATCTATTTCTTCTAAAAATATATATTTTCGTAAATATCCGCAGCCTATTTATAGATAAAATATTTTAGCAAGTATAATACTACATTAATTTATAATAGATATTAATACTTATAGCAGCTATTATGTAGTATATAAAATGTACCCATTAGTATTAATTATACTATATTTTAATATATAATTTAAATCCGTTTCAAAAATAAGCTAACGATTAATATCGCGATGGAAAAATAATAATTTAAAATACAGCTGCACGTATATATCACTTCAAGATTATATAAGGTCATAAAACCAAAAATGTAAATAAACAATCTCATCATTAATCACAGTACAAATTCGTGAGTCCACGAACCATCAAATATTATGGGAACGAAGAAGAAGAAGAACCATCACCGTTCATTTATAAGCCATGCATGACGTTCCCAGATGAAGTTGAGAAAGAAGCAGACATCGAGCACACTCTAGCGATCATTAAACCGGAAGCAATGATTTACAGAAGACAAATCGAGGAACGAATATACGAGGAAGGTTTCGAGATACGTCAAACGCGTTGGTTACAATTAACACCCGAGCAAGCGTCAGATTTTTATTCGGATAATTACGGACAAGTCTGGTTTGCTCATCTTGTTGCTTACATGTCTTCTGCTCCAATCATAGTACTCATGCTAACCAAGCATCAAGCTGTACATGATTGGAGATTTATTATGGGTCCCATGAAAGTAATTAACACATTCTTTTTATGTTCTTCCAATTTCGTCTATGTATTCTCTATTTGTTTCTTTTTTTTTATATAGCATACCTATTTTTATAATCTGTATTTTCTTTATTCATGTTTTTTATGTTCCTCTAACATCCAATTTCTGATTATTGTACTCTCAAATAATTTTTTTTCCTCTATTTCTCTAATATTTAATTTCGTAATTTTTCTAATCTAACAATTTATTTTCTTATACTTCTTTAATTTCTAATAATTTCATTACTGTTTTCCTAATTTATCATTTCAAGTTTCTTTAATTTCTAATAATTGCTTAATGTTATCTTTGTGAGAGATATATTATAAATATATGTAAATATAAACATTGTTACTTCTTTCAGGCACTTCGGAAAAGTGATTGTAACTTCTATTCGTTCTATTTAGGTCGCAGAAGCTCGATTATATTTTCCCGACAGCGTAAGAGCAAAATACGGTCGAAGAGGTGAAGACTTTAAAAATGCAGTACATGGAAGTTTGACTCGAGAGAAGGCTGAGAAAGAAATACATTTTTTCTTTCCCGAATGTAAGACGATGTCAAAATTAGAATTTTATCATATTGACTTCTAACTTTGTGCTTCTTACAGCTGTGATTGAACCATTGCTGATAGGAGAATCACTCGTTGAATATTTGTGGGAAACGATCAACCCAATTCTCACGGAAGGTTTAGTTCTGGTAAAAATTATATTTGATCTTTATCGATCTAATTTAGCGATCTTAACGCTTATTCGAACGCCAACATCAAGTCTATCACAATCATCAATTTTCTTCATAAATATTTTTACGTCTCAAACTTGACTCGACACTTTTTCGAGCGACATTCTATGACAATTTTTTTTATAAAAAAATCGTAAATAATAAACTAAAAAATAAAATAAAATAAAAGTAAAGAAAAAATATAATTTTTTATAAATTTCTTTCAGTGCTGCAAATTGAAACCAGCCGATCCCTTATTATGGCTCGCTCATTGGCTCATATTAAACAATCCCAATAAGCCACGATTACCCGAAGATTTAGCATTAATACCAACATAAGAAACACAAACAAAAAATTACGTAATATTTTCCTTCCAAAAAGAAAAGAAGAGAAAAATAAATTATATATTATTATCTTACCTACGAGAGTGATCTCTCTGGAAATCAAGGACAACCGATCTCGACGACATGACGTTGTTCTATTCGCTCGTCTTTCCACAGCAGTCTTTAAATTGTATCTGAAGAAAGAAATGATTATTTTATTTTCAAAAGATTCTATTTTTTTCTTTCTTTTATTTTTTCTTTTCGTTCGTATTTTAAACCAAAGAAAACTAATCGCTGACACAAAAATTCCTTGACCTTGATTCAACCAAACGATGAACGATCTCCGTTTCGCTTTGTTCAATGTTCCTAGACGATCTTTGATTTTCTTTTTCTACATCCCGATCATTTCCTTCTTTATATTGTAATTTTATCGAAGAAAATTCCGGCTCAACAATTGATTTTTCATGATCTATACTTTGTGACCCGTTAACACTCGTATACTCCGAATGACGAGATCGCACTCCAACGAAACGACTTCGCGACCTCTCCTTCTCAAAACGCACTCGCACTCCCGATGTAACGTCGTCACCATCACCGTCGTCGTCGTCGTCGTTGTCATAACAGTCATAGCAGCTAATTTCCTGCTTCCCGTTGATTAATCTATTGTCGTCCCGAGCGCTCAACGGCAAACGCTCGAACCCACCAGTTCGTGCCTTGCTTTCGATCGATTCCGATCTATTCGATATATTTCCTTGATTTTCTAAAGATCTTCCTATCCTCTCAATCGATATCCTAACAACAACAAATCCGAGTATAAATTAAAAAAGAAATATTAAACATTTTACAATAATAAATTTTCAAAATACTTAGATATCTTTTTTGAAGATTATATTAAAGTGTCTCGAATTTTGTGAATATATATTTATATATATATATATAAATAAAGAAGTTATTGTTATTTAAAAAAATGATAAAAATAATAACGAAAAGCATATGTTTGAATATTTGTTTGACCTATGCTATATAAAGGATTAGTTGAAATAAAGACGAACTGTAAATAGGTCAATTTTTTTACTGGGATGAAAATAAGTATGTAATATCGGAATTTTCAGTATTTTGTATTTAAATAAACCACACAATATTTAGTATTTTTTTCTACTATATTATCAAAAAATATTATAAACAATATAATATAAAATTTATAATCTAATATAAGTAAAGCATATAGAATTCGCCTTTGTTTTAGTTATAACATGTTTCACTATTTATATGCTGTAGTTGTATATAAATAATATTTTAATTTTTTATAGTATATTAAATAATATATTGAAAAATATTATGATAGTATCTACACTAAATAAATAATATTTTTTACTATACTATTACAAAATACTAATAAAGAATATTATTCCTATTTATTAAATATAAAATAATGAAAATTCCAACATTACTTATGGCACAATTAAATTTTTCTTACTTTTTTTAAACAATAAAAGAAAAACAAAAAATAAACATAGATCATCGATTTAACATTCATCCACTTTCTCATCTGTTCCATCTGAACTTTTGTGAATAAAAATAAAAAAAATAATGGAGGTACCTCTCATGAGAATTCCAAAAATTTGAATCTCTCTCACTTCGTATTTGCGTACCAATATCGGTGTTAGATTTAGCAGAGGGTTTATACCAAGGTGAAGGTGTTCTCATTGACCCACTTACGATTGGCCAATCTTGAAGAAAATTCATATCCTGAGAATGAGAGGGTAATATCGAAAGAGAGACACCTCGTCTTTCGGCTAGTCCAATCGGATTGACACTAGCTACTTTGTCGTCCCATGGATCTGCGATGGAGAGCAGCACTTTCTGTGCAGATAGAAAAAAGATCCCGATAACGAAAGAAAAGAATAAATAGAAAAATAAAAGAGAGAGAAATACGATCGTTTATTTTAATAATGCTTAATTCTTAAAAATTATTTGTAAAATTTCATCCTGATAAGAAAAAAATGAAACATAATTAAATTTTTTTAAAAATATAAATAAATTTCTTCATTCACAATGTTTTATTTGCTAATATTTAACAAAATTAATTCGTGTATAATTTTATTATTTTTATGAAATTGTATTATTTTATAATAAATAAAAGATCATAATAATATCATAATTTCATAATACTATATAATAAGAAAATGTTTCAATTTTTATTTCATTTCTTTTTCTTATTAGTTATCAAAATAAAAATTAAAAAATGCCGATGTACAATGCTATCTATGATAACATTAATTATATTGATCTTTTTTTTTTTTTGATAACTTTTAAGAGTTAATTTGACCATAAATTAAAATATTAACTCAACTGTCCTTCAAATCATATGTATATTCGAATTTCAGTAATTTTTGATTTATTTTATAAAACATTTTTTTGATTTATATCAAGTTACTGATTTTCCTACCAATTGAAATTATTTATTTATCATAGAAATTTTCTTCTGTAAAATAAAAGAGCCAACATAATTGAGATATAATTTCACTCATAATAACGTTAAACTATGGTAATTGTTTTATAGTAGATTTTAAAAGCTAATTCCATAAGATATTAGAATGTTAACTCGACTATCCTTCGAATCATACATATATTCAAACTTCAATAATTCTTAATATATTTGAAAAAATTCATTTTTGATTTATTTCACAAGTTACTGATTTTCCTATCAATAACATAGTGTCTCGTGATCCATGCATCGACCTTTAACCCATGATACATCGAATCGTTCGCACGCTTATCTGACACGCTTATTTCTTCAAGAATTTGTACAAGGCTTCGTTAGAATCTAATTTAACGTAGAAGCATTCGAATTATCGAACGTAAGCTCTAGTGCATTTACAAATTAATTTATGACATCAAGTAGGAATATTTATTATATCTCATTTGTCGCAACAAGTTTAATCGGCTAACAGTAAGCTCTGTGCAATCTAGAATAAACCCAATGATAGATTAAGATTTCAATGTGTATGAATGCAAGGCTTTACGATTAGCAAACGTTAAGTTACCTCCACTATATATATAGATATACACATTGATATATATGATACATACACACATAACCGAACGTACTGATTTTATGATAAAATATTTTGTTGTAACAGAATTTTCTAAGCTAGATAAACAAAGATAAATAGATGAGATAGAAAATCATGAGCCATAAAAAAAAAAAATATATATATATATATATATGTTTACAAAATATTTTTTACTAAAAATTTCAGCATTATTGGCCAATCAAACACATGACAACCATACAAACTATTATACATAATTAAATTATAAAGTAATATGACAGAGATTAGAATAAAGATAAAAGATGGATGAAAAAGTGAATCCAATGACAACAAAGGCGAGGTAAAATTCTTTGTCCGACTATTTTCACGAATGCACCTGAAATTGGGTTAATGAATACTCGGACAATAACGGGTCATTGTGGAGTTTTCATGAATGAAAAGCAAACTTGATCTCAAAGCGTCTTTGTTCTTTTAATTGCCGGCACGAATCGAGAGTGTTAATTCATTTCTAACGCGAACGGTAACGGTCTGTCTCTTTTATCTTCCTTTTTTGTTTTATATTTTTCTCATTGTCTTCTTTTTAAATTGAAGTGATTTTTCTTTTTATTTGACATTTAACGCGAAATGGAAAAACATTTAATGGCTTTAACGAATGATCTTTTCAGAAAACAAGTTCTCGTCGAGATTATTAACGACATTTATTATTAATGATTTTTTACTTTTTACAATTCTTTTTTTACGATTTTTTCAATAATTATAAAATACAAGCACGTGTCAGAAATTGATTTGAATACACACAACATTCATAATCCAATGTACTCGCGTGTAAATTAACGATAATCCCCAACAATTGGATTGTACAACGTTCTCTTTTATTATTGTAATAATTATTATTATTTTGATTTTATCTATATCTCTTTTGAGAAGTATATAAAAAAGAAATAGAAATTAATAATTACTTCAACTCTTTTATTTTATTCGAAAATGAACAAAATCTTACAATTGACACGATAACACGGAAAAAACGTTACTGATTAAAGAAGAAAAAGAAAAAAGGCAGAGAAAGACATAGAGAGAGAAAGAGAGAAAGAAAGAGATAAATTAAAATAAATAAAATTGATCAAAATAGGGGATACCTTTTTTTCAGTCTTCTTTCGTTTTTTTCGTTTGATCCGATCCATTCTTCTTCTTCTTCAATTATCGATTAGGCATGAAAAATATCTGAACGATTTTATTGTAAACTTAGGAAAAAAATATAGAGTGCAATTAGATTAGGAGTACTTCCATCTTCTGGGACAGGTGGTTGTAGACTGATCTTCCACTCCGTATATCGGTAACCACTTAGCGATATCTTCTTAGAGCATCCAGCATGTATCAGTAAAACATATATATACATATATATATATATATATGCACACAACCATAAGTGTCTTCCTCACATATACATATACACATGCACACATATATCGAGCATTATACATTCGCAAACGTAACTCACGCGATCATTAAACAATACACATATACACACATGTACACATATTTTCTAAGATTGCCTTCGTTGATTCCGTACCTTATAAGTGTTCCGTTTCTATGTATATATATATATATATATATATATATATATATATATATATATGTATATACATAATATACATATACACATACATATACATACATTTCGAATATGTGTGAAACTCTTACAAGTCCAAAGAGATAATGTTGCTCCCACCAAATAGACTCGTGAGATCTCTGAAAGAAGTGAATCTCTTTTTCTTCTTTGAAAGAAAAAGAAGAGAAAAAGATTCGCACATATTTGTGCGAGGGTGTATACAGTCTTCAGAAAAAAAAAATACAAGAGAACAATATTTTAAGATTTTCAATAAAAACAACATTCTTTTCTCTTTGTTTATCATCTTTCTCTTAATTATATTTATTTACTTGCTTTAGAAACACGACCAAGTAATAAATTCAAAATTTTGTCTTATCTTTCCACTTCTATTTATTTATTGTTTTCTTTTTTCTTTTCTTCAATCTAATCAAAAGAATGATCTAGACATTAATTTAAAATTTGGCCATTTGTAAATTATTTTCTTTTAAGCAAACTTGTGTATGCGAGTATGTGCACGCGAATTTTCCTCGAATTAAAGTAATCTTTGCTTATACAAGCTTGTTACAAGAATCGTTGTATTACATTCGTTCAACTACAAAAGAAACATGTTCCTATGTATTTCTATCTATAAGAATGTGATCAGAATTATGACAGGAGATTAGGATCATTATAGTTTAGAAGATAGAAAAAAGAACGAGACACGAAAGACGATGCATTCTTATTAGCATACTTTTTATTTTCCTCTCTCTCTCTCTCTCTCTCTCTCTCTCTCTCTCTCTCTCTCTCCCTCTCTTTCTCTCTTTCTTTCTTATTTTTTTTTTGCAACAGGATCGTTCGACCAAACAAAAAGAGAAGAAAAGGATTTGAAAAAGAAAAAAGTAATTTACCTTAAATAGACATGAAATATCAGAATCCTTTTTTCTCTTTCCTATTCGAATGAAAAAAAAGGATGTCTTTGAAAAAATTGATAATGATTTTTCCGACAAATCCGGAGCATACTTTTATCACGGTCTACAATTAATTAATTTGTTAATTATTAAAGTCTAAACGATTAACCGTAATGATATGACTTCGCTGTATAATAACGATAATGAAAATTATTATTATTATTATTATTATTATTATTATTATTATTATTATTATTATTTTATTGTATTACTATCATTAATATTATTATTATTATTATTTTATTGTATTACTATCATTATTATTATTTTTATTATTATTTTTTTTTTCTTTTTTTTTTTTTTTTTATATGCTAACTAACATAGTTATCCTGTCGTTTTGTGTCTTTTTTTCCCTCTCGACAAATTGCAATTCGTTCCAGTTTCGCATTTTTCTCTTTTTTCTTTTTTATTTTCTTCTAATTGTTATTAGAACAAATCGGATTACAAGTACCGATGTGAGAATAAATATAATATGTAATTGATAACAGTGAACATCAGGCTAATGAAAGAAAGGAATCTTTTTCTCAGAGACATGTATCTCTCTTTACTTCTTTATAATATTATATATACATATATATAATATTATACATATATATACATATATATACATATATATACACATATATATATATATGTATTATATATATATCATATATTATATATATTATATATTATGTTACATATTATATATTATATATTATATATTTACAAATGCGATATACTAACTAATTTTGTTAATCCTTTTTAACTCTTTTTTTCTTCCTTCCTTCCTTTCTTTCTTTTACTTCTTTCTTTAATTCTCATCAGAGATCACTTTAAATAACTTTGCTGCTCATTTGGACGAATTCTTGTATTTAATTAGTCTTACGGTTCCTTCGCTTCTCTAAGCATGCTGCTAATTTATCGACGGCTTATAAACAACTTGCTGCTAATTCGTTTAGAATTATCTCGAGTTAAATGATAGCAGATAAATACCAGTATATATAGATCAATCAAACGATAGGTTTCTCTCTTTCTCTCCCTTCCTTCGCCTCTCCCCCTCTCTCTCATGACCTCAGTGAAACAATTTTTAAATCATAAATATTAAGGACGTGTTAGTCAAATAATTCGCATGCTCGGCATAATTTTATTGTAACGAATATAACGAGCGATTAGAAAAAAAAATAATAAGATCATTGTTAAAATGATGGAATGTGCTAAATATACGGAAGGACTGTTCGTTCTCATTGTAACTTATCGTTTGAATACTTTTCAATTTCTGTTCTTTCTTTTTGACAATATACGTTCAACGATCAATCGTATTTCTTTTTTCTTACATACACTTCCTATATTATTTTTATAAGTTTTACAATATAAGTTTTGAAAATTATTCTCTATCCAATTTTGCCAATAATAGATACGTATGTGCACGTGCATACGCATATGTGTTTATAGTATATTCGGTTAAGTATGTAAATATATAATCTATATCTATGCATGTGTATTTAACAAACTTTGTGATAATTCTGTGTATACATGTGTATATATATATACATGCACATATGCATACACACATACAGAATTATCACATAATCTATTAAAGAAAATTTTTTCAAATGAATAATCTTACAAGAAATTATTATATATTAAGCCTATGAAATAATTTCGTATATGCATACTTACTAAAACCGAATATAATATATATATATATATATATATATATATATATATATATATATATAATCACCATAATTATTATAATCAACATCATCACCATCATTGCATAATCAACTGACATAGCTACAACTATAATTACTCGTATATTTCTGCGTTCTCCTTTTTTTCTTTTCATTTACATTGATATATTTATCTACCTACAGCTATTAACATTATTGTTACTATACTCTCGGGAACGTGTATGTATAGTCCAACAAAATTTCACGTCGCTCAATTCTACATTTCTTCTTTCATATCATTCACGCGATGCATTCTGCATAAAGTTTAAAAATATTAACGACAATTATTTGTGGTGTGTTTGTGTTCATAAGCGTACGTGTTTATGATAATGTATACATATATGTGTATTTATATGTATATAACATGTGTTCACTTCTTTATTTTACATATACTATAGTCAAGACTATATTCGAACGAGAAACGTTTGAAACAATACAACAAAATATGAATGAGAAATAATAATGTATGAAACTGTACAACGATGCGCACAAATTAATGGTCCATAAAAATCAACTAAAAAGAAAAAAAAACAGCTTTAAATAGTTTATCGTTCGTATCTGTCGTGACAAAATATGACGAAGGTGCACCTAAAAGTTGTCCTCTCGTCGAGAATAATATTCCTTGTATTGAATATATATATTCTTAATTCTCTTATTATCATCATCATTATTAATATTAATATTATTGTTATTATTGTTGTTATTATTATTATTATTATTATTATTATTATTATTATTATTATTATTATTATTATTATTATTATTATTATTTAGCAACTCCTCTTATCAATAGTACTATTTAATGAGTATTGTTAATCACCGAAGTACTGGGGAAAATATGTACCTTGTTTTATGTCAGGCGTGCTCCATTACTCTCTTTCTTTTCTATATTTTTTTTTTTTTTTTTTTCAATTAATTTTACAACGTAATATTTTTATAATAATTCAGACATTTACTTTAAACGCGTAGAACGTATAAATAATTCATTAATTTAAAAAAATAGGCATCTATAGATACAATGATGTTAAACTGTGAATCTTTTGACCTTTCAAAACATACATCCGTTGGAAATATTTCATTACATTACATTACATTACATTACATTACATTTCATTTCATTTCATTTTTCAACATATACAAGATGATCAAGAATGAGTAATGGAATAATATATGATTCAAATTGAAAATGTTAATTAATAACTCCAACATTTTCGATCATTGAAGAGACTTCGCATGGAATATCTCAAAAATTTCAATAAGCTTTCAGTAAGCGTAAAAATTTAAATAAAAGCACATTGAAATTTGAGAGATAGTACAAGGAGGTTTAAACTCGAATGAAGCACATAATACTTTGTTTGTTAAGTCAACGAAGAATATGTAACGCTTTTGTAAAAGAAATTTGAAAAGAAAATAATATGTATATTTTATGTATGTATGTATATATATATATATATACTTACATGTATATTAGGCTAATAAGAAGGAACAATTTGTAATTCGATTGTTTCTGAAACGAGAAATCGAATTACACGTTCTAGGAAATAACTTATAGGCCAAATCATATACCGACACTAGGCGTTATTTACGTTCTCTCATATTCATTCATTTTTTACCCGACGTCGTCTTATATAATTCCTTTGCATTCCATTATTAACGCGACAGTATAGATAAAGTGAAGATAACAGATCTTACATAAAAAAAAGGAAAGAAAAAAAAAAAGAAAATATAAAAAAAAAAATAAGCACACAAAAAAAGAAAAAGTATAAGAAGGAAATACTATTCATTTGAAGTTATATAATTCTTTATAATTTCTTCTAATATACTATTGCAAAAAAAAATAAAAAAGCAAGACAAGAAGACATTATAAGGTTCGAATATTATATTATTCGAACGACGTGTATCATATATGTAAATATATGATTTATAAGATTCGTGTTAATAAAACGAATATATATTTGTCTAATGTAAATGAAAGAAAAGTGCGACATTGTTGATATGATAAATGATATTTCGTTCAATCGCACTCTATAAGTTATAATCCTATCGAATGTCCAGGCTATGAATCGATCGTCAATTATAGATGATCGGTATTTAAAGATTAAAGAATAAAAAAGGAAAGAAAAAAAAAGTAAAAAAAAAGGAAAAGAAAAACGTATTAACGACGAATACTGCGTCATTCTCCGGGATCGTCCCACTTCGCCTCTTCTGCTATTCGATCGAAGCAATCAGACAGAAAGGTATACTGCGAAAAAGAAAATATCAGAATAATTAGATCGCGATGAACGAACAAACAAAAAGAGCTGTCGAGTCATACTTCCGTGAATAATTTCAGTTCGACTAAGAGAAACTTACATAAGGCGTGAAAACTTTCAACCAACGTGGTGGCCTATTATCTTGTCGAATATATTGAAAGCAAAAGGCCATGCCTTCCTCGTCTACCTCCCATCTGGTTATAGTATTCCATTGAAATTCGACTACTTGAGATTCTAAGGTACCATCCTCTTTTGCTGCATGTAATTTGAATGCTGCCATGCCAATCGCTGCGACAACATGTCCTTCCTTCCTGGAGTCGCAAGCACAATGTGGAAAAACAATATCGCCGTATCCGCTCAACTCTCTCGCCAATTTTAAATACTATAAAACGTATAAGAGAGTCCCTTTGTATTAAATATACATCGGAATAAATCGTATAAAACTTTAAGCCGACATCCATCGTAAAAGCCAATACATTGATAGACTCGTTATTACCTCGTGTTTTCTAGATGCATCCTGCAGGGCCTTCAACTGATACAATCGCTCACCAGCGCTAATGTGTCCCCTGTTGACCTCATCAACGGTCTGCCAAAAGATCCACGTCAAGGCCTGCTCGCTAAGAGACCTATTTACATTGAACAACCACCTTCTTATCGCTAGGCACGTCGCACTCGCCGTCGAGTAATTCTGAATATAAAGTGTGTGTGGGTGCTCATGAGGTTGAAGTTTCCTCTCGAAATTGTACTCGACTATCTCGAAGAGGTAAAAATACTTGGCGGTTTCCGAATCAAGTCCGACTCTACTACAGACCGCATCGTAGACATCCTTGACCAAAGCGGCTTTCGCGACCGTCACGGTAACGACCTCGCGATCAGGTAAGAGAACCTTTAGGTCAACCGCTGGACCTTGATCGCCGTCCTCGTCTAACCTATCGGTTAGAAATTCTTGCATAGCATCGCTCTCGGCAATTACACGTACGGCACAGACTTTTTCAAGATATTGTTCTAATCCTCGTCTTCTGGCATCCAATTGCTGTTCCGTCAATCTATTAAAACATTAATACATATAGAAATGATAAAAAGATAGAACAGATACCAGGAATAAAAAGAAATCATTGAATACGAAGAGCTTACTGAAAAGGCCATTTTCCAGGTAACTTTGGAAAATTAAATCCAATAAATTCCTTTTTCAGGGCCATATGAAGGGCAGCGAATTCGCGATAACGTCTAGAACACAAATGCCTTCCGGCCATATGTACGTTGAAAACAACGTAACGTTCGTGTTTCCTTTCACGGACATGGTAATCCGGTACACTAATGGGTAAGGATCGTTTTTCGCTGTAGTCTATCGGTGGATAGCTAGATAATGAAATAAAAAAGATGATCAGAGGATACGTTTTTGCATGAATAAATAACTTTTGTTAAAAGGAAATGACAAATATCACTTTTTACCTTAGATCCTCACAAGGTTCTAGCCTTTCAGCCTCTTGCGGTGTCACGGATATCACCGTCAACGTCAGTACGTCACCACCAGACTTTATCAAGTCAACGACCTGTTTGTGAGTGGCACCCTCGACGTTCACGTTGTTGCTAAAGAGAAGAAACAAAAAAAAAGAAAAAAGAAGAAAATAAGTGAGAACGAAAAAAAGAAAGAGAGTCGTTTGTTACCACTCTGCTAACTTTTCCTACGGCCTTCTTACCGGGCCTTGAGCGAGTCTTTTAATTGGATTTCGGGATACAAGTTCGCGTGTTGTCTCTTACGAATCTCCAACCATTCGCACTGCACCGCCGTAATATAACACGTTAACATTATTTTTTTTTTCCTTTTTCAAGACACGTCGTCCGTTTAACAACTTCGAGAATTATCTTCTTTCAAAAAAAGAAAAGGAAAAAAGAAACGTTTTCCAAATTTTCTTTTACTCTCACGAGTCACTTCGTGGCAAAACACAATGCGATTGGCAACGTTTCTTCCTTCGATTCATACGTTTCAAGAATGAACAAACACACAGGACATATAGGTGATCGACCTTGTTAAACAAGCTTTGAATTCCAATAGTGAAAGGATAACCAGGATTGGTTACTTTCGGAGGCACGACACTCTCCTCGTTCTTTCTCTTTTATGAGAGAAACTTCAACGTCCACTAGCAACTATTGCTTGGTTTAACAACACTCTTGATTATTCGAGAAGTATGATTTAGATATTGACTTTCATGAGTAAACGAAGAGTGAAAGGGAAAAAACAAACGAACTAAAAGTATAAATTGCGCAAAAAAAACGAGAAAGAAATTAAAAAAATATTCGTAATTATCGTAACATCGAAAAAATTAATCGTCTTGAGCCCTTCATAATTCAATTCTTGTTCGTATAAACAAACCAATTGATTTATGTGATATATATTACTTTCATCATCAATACATACAATCACATCATATAATTTAATATAGTATATTACATACTTTATTATTATATATATATATATATATATATATATATATATATATATATTTATAGCATTAGTATATAAAAATATTATACGAAGTATAGCATATTATATTATACTATACAGTAGTACAATATAGTATATTATAACTTATACTTAATATACTATAGTATATTATAATTTATATTTAAAATCCAGAGAAAAAATTCTTTAGATACAAAATAAGAATGAATTTTCTAATCCGATTAAATAAAGTGAAACTTACAAAATACAGAAACATAAGTTTGTTACTTGAAAGTTACATTAAAATTACAAGTTATAGAAAGTTAACACACGTATTACACAAATTTTATCATTAATTTAGGTCATCATTACAAACTGATCATCGTTACTTCTGAAAGAAACACGCACTATATGAAGTTAACATTCCGTATGTTTAGAAATGATTGCTGAAACGTCAATCGTTCACCCACTAACAAGATAACTCTTTCGAAAATTATATTCCTACCGATAACACGGTATCGGACACTTTCCCCGGTTTTGAACAAATTATCTCAGGGAAAATAAAACGAGCATTTACAAATAATTGATAATTATTAAACGATAACTCGCTTGACCCTCTTCCTTATTGGTCCGATATCAATGATAATATATTAATTAATATATAAATTAAATAATATGTTATTATCATCTTTCATTTATTGCTCGTTATATAGAGAATTAATTTTGGTCGTAAGTTTTTATCTTTAGTTGTATATATTTTTTTATTATTTAATTTTAACAACTATGTATTCATTTTTATACTTGACAAAAATGTTTTCAAATAGATTAAAAAAGGTACGTATTTTTGTTCGATAAGAACAAATTAACAAGGAAGTGAGATAAAAATTTAGTCGAACAATACTGAATGACCATCGATTGAACTCCAATTTAAAGTAGTATAAGGTCTATAATGGGTATTAATATTGTGTCTTAAATGTTCTAATATTAATGTTGCCGATACGACAGATTATCTTTCGTTATTAATTTTGTTCATTCTTTATAAGCTAATTTTGTATTGTGTTTACAAAAAAATTATATAATATGTGAAAGTTTCTTATTTAATAATTAAACTAGTAATTATATTAGAATTAGTAGAATTATACAATACTAATAATAATATTAGTATAAATTATAGTATAGTATAATTACACTAATATAGCAGAATAGTATTTACATATATAAATATATATATATAAATTTATATATATAAATTTTTTAAGTTTTATTTCTTTACAAATTAAACAATTTTACACTCCTTTAACTATAAGTTATATCCAGTTGATTACATTAAGTATATTATAATTACTTATAGTATACTAATATACAGTAGTATATAAAATATAAGAAGTTACACTACGTTAAATATAACTTATACTAAAAAAAATGTAAAAAATTGTTTAACTCATAAAGAAATAAAACTTAAAAAATACAGATACACGTATAACTTAAAAGTCACTACGTAACTTAAAAGTCACGTAGTGTTAGAAAGAAAGTTATATATTTTTGCCTAATATTTATTTGAATTTCATTTATTTATAAATCATCTTAGAAGTATATATTATATATTTATGTTGTATTAATTTCTCGAACATATTACTTAGACGATCCTATAGAAAATAAATAATCGTTAAAGTATTATCCGCTTTAAATCCATCGTATAGACGATTATATTTTTATAACGTCTATGCGTCGGACGGCTCGTCAAAAAATCGTCTAATTAAGAAGAGACAAAAGGCACGTACACACACAAACACACGAACACGCACACATGGTGCTCGATCGAGCACGTTCGATCGCTATTAATAATAAATATCGATTGCTATTAATAAGATACGACAGGATCACATCAGAGCGTATAAACCACAAGGAGAGAAACAATTATATTTCAGTAAGTGTGAGAGTAACAGAATACCATGAGACTCGTTTAATTCGCGGTTAATGTTCGCTTATCACGTCGAATGAATTCGATTTCTAAACTAAGTGGAATGAAGGCAATTTAAAAAGGACAAAAGACAGAGAGAAAAAAAGAAAAAAAGATGGATGGATGGATGGATGGATGGATGGATGGATGGATGGATGGATGGATGGATGGATGGATGGATGGATGGATGGATGGATGGATGGATGGATGGATGGATGGATGGAGAGAGAGAGAGAGAGAGAGAAATGAAATTCCACCAGAGAGAAGAAATGAATTTCTCTTCTCACATGTTTATCTTTCTCTTTTTATCATAGCTTATTTTTTTTTTTTGTTATTACCTTCTATCTCGATGCAAAAATATAAGATAAATAAAGGTAAGAGAAAAACAATGGACAAGTAAAAAATATGGTATGTATGCATGTTGTAATTATGTACACAGGAATATATTTATTTTACATTATTAAAAATTTGCATGATACAAGTTTCTTATAAATTTCATAAAGAATTCTAAGTTTTGAAATAAATATGAATAAATATGAAGAAATTTATGTGCTATGTTTCAATATATTTACATATATATGTTGGTTGTAATTACATGTGTATGTATGTATTTATTCTATATTATTAAAAATGTCTATGGTGCAAACAAGTCTTTTATATATAATACATAAAAAAACTCTGAAATTTTTAATTAATACGAAGAAATTGTTAAGTAAAGTTATTAATTAAAAAAAAAAAAATAGTAGTGATTTTTATTGAAATAATAAAATAAAGTTTTTAAATAATTTTTGATGAATGTATGCATTTATATATTATATGAATGTGCACATCTTTGTGTGTGTAAGTATATATTGACTTTTTCGTTTTAACTATATTAATAAAAAATGTAAAAAGCGTTCATTTTGTATTTATAACTTCAAAAAATCATTTCTCTTCTTTAATTCACCACATACCAGACTGATATTAATATATCTAATACATGATCAGAGCTCTTTGCTCAGCCTATAAAAAATTATTGAATTTTAAATAACGTGGAAATAGTTTTATTATTAATAATTAGCTTACTTAAAAGCGAGAAGATATCAATGACAATCGATAAGTGAATTAATCGACCAACTTTGATAATAATGGTGCCATTTTTTAATTAAAATCTTTTTATTTCATATTTATTTCTATATCATTCATTTCATCGATAAATTAATTAATCGTTCAAATTTATGCAATTAACAAGTTGCACACGTAGAAGACTACTGAGAACTTGGACTGAATTTAAAGGGGGGTAACGGTAACTAAGCGCGTGACTGCGTCCAATGTCGAATATCCTCAAGACTTGAATCGATCTTATGTTAGACGAACCTTTCTACATTGATTATATTCAAAAAGTTGTCATTTTGTTTAAACATGAAAGTTAACAAAAAATTATTATTTAAATAGTCAAGGATGGGCCCAAAAATTTTTGAATAATTTAAAAAATCAATTATTCCTTTTTGAAACTATACTCCAGTTTAATCATTGTATTGTATATCTAGTCTAAAAATATATTATAATTTTAATGAAACGTCGTAATTATATAAAGAACAAGTTTTCGTGAGGAACTCGAGTTCTCTACACAAATGAGAACTCGATTGTCGAGTTTAAATTATTATTCACGACATTAAATTATTGGATAAATAATTTAATAAGTTGAAATCATTCTTCAAAATTTTTGTGCAAGTCCTTCATATTACCTAAATTTTTTAAATTTCTTATTATTTTTTTCTTCCGCAGTTTGAAAACTTTTCAAGTTTTTTTTTCTACTCCTCGTGATTGGCTAATTATATCTAAATCAAACTGCATAAATTAAAAATTGTTTTCATTTCTCCTGTTCATATTATTATAAGAAATTTTATCATATAATATACACAAATTTATATAATAATATATCGTTATATTTGTATTTATCTAAACTATAATATCATGATAACAAAAGTATGTGGATTGATTAAGAAAAAATCATCGATGATCTTAAAATCTTAGAAGAACGAGCTTGAAATGAATTCCATGTCAATCAGAATCTTCATTTGGATGAAACAATTTCTTTATATGACATTTTTAATCATATAATAAAGAACAAAAGAAATATTTCAAATATTCCTGTTAAATGAAATACCCTCTGTGTGTGTGTGTGAAATATACGAAAAAAAAGAAACTTTCTATGTTACTTCGTAAGACCGACAAAGCGAGAAATTGCAATATCGTGGACGCACTCGAGGACAAACGAAAAAGATTAAAGGGGATCAGCATCGTTGAAACGACGACAAGAACGATGAGAGAGATAAGATCAACGAACAGAATGATGAAGTCTGTTAACCCCTCGCCTGTATAGAACGGATCGCAAAATTCCATTTGATTGTCCGTGTCGTTAAGATCGATTAGTCGATACATAGATTTTTAACGCGTTCTTTTTACTGCTGTTTATTCGAGATCGTGCATAGGAAAAATTTGATGTACATAAGCTCATATGCAATTTGCACTGATAATCATGCTTAGAGGAATTCTCCATCTTGATCACATATCATTTATATATATATAAAAATTTGATGTACATAAGCTCATATGCAATTTGCACTGATAATCATGCTTAGAGGAATTCTCCATCTTGATCACATACCATTTATATATATATAAAAATTTGATGTACATAAGCTCATATGCAATTTGCACTGATAATCATGCTTAGAGGAACTCTCCATCTTGATCACATACCATTTATATATATATATAAATATATATATATATATAAATATATATATATATAAATATATATATATATAAATATATATATATATAAATATATATATATATAAATATATATATATATAACAAGATAGATACATAAATCAAAAAAATTATGAAATATGATATATGAAAATATGTATCATAAATTTTTGCTTACACATTACAAGAATATTTGCTTATAATATAAAGAATAGATAATTTTAAAAATCAATTATTTATTTCCGAAATTTTGTAAACTTATACTTAGATTCGTAGTTTTAGAAGTTGAGCTTGTAGCTATATAATCTCAAAAAAAAGGAAAACAAAAATAGTCCAAAAAGTTCCGAAAATACATAATTGACATGTAACCTTTTGCATATCCTGTATTAATTAAATTTATCACGTTTTGATTATAAGCAAATTTGTATTTTCTCGATTGTTTACAGAGTAAATTAATTAAGTAAATTAAAATGAAGATGATTATACAATATTAGTAAAATTAATTACCTTATCAAATCAAACGTATTCGAAAATTAGATTATTTTAAAAAAAAGCCAAAAATTATATTAACTGATTACTAGAAATGTCTTATAGATCATTCTAAATTTCTTATGTTTAAGTTAAAAAGCTGCGATAAAATATTGATTTTATACAAAGGTACTATAATAAATTCCTTCGAAATAACAAATCGAATTTTTTATAAAACGTTAAAATGTTTTTGTAAAATTATAAAACTAAAGAAGATCCAATAGAATTTAATATCGATTATTTTGATAAGAATACAGGATGTCAAATTAATAATTAATTACATTATAAACTTGGAGAGATGAGAGATGTTTAAATTACAAAAAGAAAAGTTATTAAAGAACGAATTCGAATGTTCGAAATTTTTATTTCGATATGTTTCTCATCAACGAAAGGCTATTAATTTTTCAGCAATAAAAGCCGAACAAAACTAAACTAAATTAAATGAGAATACAAACATAAGGTTGACAAGTCCGCCTATCATGGGCCGCTCGTCGGCGATATTCGATACAGATTTGATACAGCATAACCGGTAACAGTGGGAGGAGACTCTCATTTTACACGCTGATACCGCGTTTGCTTAGAAATAAAACGAAAAATGAACCATGAACCATGAAATAATCCCATTTCATGCTTCTAAAGAAAAAAAATTAAATAAAAATAAAAATTAAAAAAAATACATATAAAGAAAAACAAAAATCACTAGATTGGTCATACAAATTTAGCACTTATTTATTTATGGCGGTAAATCTCGTTCAAATAATTCACCATTTTTATTGAAACCAATTCAATTTCGTTCTTTCTTTCTTTTTCTCATTTTTCTATTTCATTTTTATTTTTTTTTTAAATATATATATATATTTTTTTTTATAAAATCTTTCATTCTTTTGACAGTAGTTGAATAAAAATGTCGCGAGCTTTACATAATGATCTCGCCCTTTTTCTTTTGCGCCTTATGGACGGTTACATAATAAACATATATAAAACGTCTAATAACATTTAGACATTATATAATAACACAATGCCATTATAAGCGAAAGCGACCGTTAGGTTCAAATAAATGCCGAAAAGATTCCACGGCCACTTTCTTGGCTTCCAGCCAAAAGAACGAATATCAATTGAGAATGTATGATAGATTGTCCTTTAGAGTCACGGAACATTAATTTCATTCATAAATTCTTTTTTCCTTTTTTTCTAACAAAGTCCTAAAACTTTGATTTGATTTGAGTTAGCGACACGAGTAAAAAAGGGGAAGAAAATGCAAAGAGAAAGGATGTAACGACAAAGAAGGATTAATTTCCGAGAGCGACATTGAAGAACGATTGAACACCAACTTGAGAGTAGCAGGGACGACTCTTGCAACCCGTATTCGATCGCTACTCTATGTCTCTCTCTCTCTCTCTCTCTCTCTCTCTCTCTCTCTCTCTCTCTCTCTCTCTCTCTCTCTCTCTCTCTCTCTCTCTCTCTCTCTCTCTCTCTCTCTTCTCTTTCTATCTTTCAAGGAAACTACTCTCTATAGGTTGCTTCACAAAGAGTTTTCTGCCTCCCTCTTTCTCTCTCTTTCTCTCTCTCTGTCTCATTTCTCTTTTCCACTCTCGTTCACTCGCAATGGGCCATTTCGGGCTGAAGTTTCGCGTCGTTCTTCGTCGGCCGATCGTTAAGTCCCGCAAACGAGATAAAATGTAGAGAGAGAGAGAGAGAGAGAGAGAGAGAGAGAGAGAGAGAGAGAGAGAAGGCACAAACACGCGCGCCATTCGATCGTGCTTTGGATTCCTTCGTGAAATCTTTTAACTTTAAGAAGTACAAATTCTAACAGATTTGAAAGTACATTTGTACTATCGTATTTTGTTTTAATAAGATTTTATGGTACGATGAAAATATTCGATTTTTTGAGACATTTTTAAGAAATTTTTAACAAAGTAATATAATAAGAAAAAGAGCAATATAATTGAAAGGCTAAAAAAATAATATAAAAGAGAAATGAATACTCACACCTCGAGTATTCGATCACCCTTGCGAACACCGGCCTTTTCAGCTGCACCTCGGGGTAAAACGGCACTGACGTGTTGCAAGGGTGCGTAAAGTTCGCCGTTGATACTCCTCAATTGTCCACCCTCGCTGACCTGACCTCGAACGTTGAACCCAAAGCCAGTCTCCGTTTTGTAGATGGTAACACATCTCGGTCCTTGTCCAACGTTTGGATTATTCATTTGTTGTTGTTGTTGTTGATTGACAAGATTATGTTGCGGCACTCGACCATTGTTGATCACCGTGTTCACCGCGGTCGTACTCGTAGTCGTTGTTGTCGCCGTCGCCGTGGTCGTACTCGTTGTCGACGCCATTATCGTCGTGGTCATCACACTCGTCGTATCGTTTATAGGATGGACGCTCGCGTTCATTCCGCGAATACCGTCCTCCTTAACCTCAGATCTCGTTCGGCGTTGCTCCTGCTTCTGTCGCTGTCGCTGCTGCACTTCTTTTTCCTCCTCCTGCACCTCCGAATCACGATCCGCCATCTTACCCTCTGGCCTCCCATTGATGCGCCGCTCTTGTACCACCGCGCACCGTGAGAATGCGCTGTGCGCCTGTGCGCCATTATGGCAGTGCGACAGAGACAAGTTAAGTTTACTTAGATAATCCCCCCTCCCTCTTTTCCTTCTCTCTTTCTTTCTCTTAACCCCTACTCCTCGATATTTCAAACTTGTTTTTCTGAGAGAGAATATGATTCGATATAACAATATTCAAATGATATTTCTTAATTCATGCTTATTCTCGCGTTATATTATCTGCTTCTTCTTCAAAATTATATTTATTCCAAACGATATTTACATTTACTTTTACCTACCAGAGGTAACGGATTCGCGAACGTGATTGGATGACAAGCGAACACGATTGGTGATACTCGTTTATTTCAAAATGTGCGGGAAAATGAAATTGAATTCAATTACCGAAGGTAAAGAAATTTTTTTATATGTATAACTAACAATAAGTTCGATAGTAATGCATGATAGTGGAAAAATTCTTTGTCATTTTATCAATTCTCTCTCTCTCTCTCTCTCTCTCTCTCTCTCTCTCTCTCTCTCTCTCTCTCTCTCTCTCTCCTCTCTCTCTCTCTCTCTCTCTCTAGATTGAATAAAATTATGAGCTATCGGATTCTTTCTAACCTAAAAAGTAAAAAATAAAAGTATACATATAGATTATTAAATTCATTTTTGATAGAGTATATTTCATAATACAAAGATACTACTTGCAAAATTCAAATTTTCTCTAAAGATTCTAATTTTTTAATTGCAATACAATTTCTTTGCATCGCCGCCATTCATTAAATTTGAGAGAAATATTCAATAAATATAGTACGTCGCTTTTTCTTCTAATTCAATCTAATTAATGAGAATATAGATATCGTACGTAGAAATAAATACCATAATATTCGAAGGATAAATATTCTTCATACATGAAGAAAACTAAGACAATTTCTTTTTCTTGCATTTACCATTTATATCTGTAATATATTAAATAATCGTTAATTTTTTTAATACAATTATACGCGATGATAAATTAAAGTCCTCGTATTTACAACTTGTTTCTTTTTCTTTCTGTTTTCTACCAATAATTATTTCCTCTTCGTCCAACATTTTCTGTACTTTTATAATCGTTTTCTTTTTTTTTGGTAACCATCCTTGTTCGGATATCAAATTCTATCTTGAAAAAGTTAATCAAACATATTCTATAAAACGTTATGATTTCTCGAGACGCGTGTTTTCAAAGTAATCGTTCGATATAATCGGATATTCTTCGTATCGATGCGATTTATTTTCGCAATAAAAATCTGGATGCTAAGATTTCTATGTATGTATAACTAACAAACATGACTATAACCCATTATAAAATGCTACGCAAATCTAATCCTTAACGTCGAGAAATGAATACGATTATATATATGAATATGTGTATATATATATATATATATATATATATATATATATATATATATATATTTCAATCGCCGGAATGAGAACATATATTATTTGAAAACGTAAAAGATCTCATCAATAATTTAGAAAAAGTTCATACATTATTAATTATAATACTATTGTGTGTATGTGTGTGTATGTATATGTGATTAGAGTCATAAGCTCTCTCTACGCGACTTTTAATGTTCACGAAGAGACAGAAAGAAAAAGAAAAAGAAACAGAGACAGGGACAGAGAGAAACAGACAGAGAGAGAGAGAAAGAGAGAGAGAAAGAGAGAGAGAAAGAGAGAGAGAGAGAAAAATAGAGAGAGAGAGAGGGAGAGAAAGAGAGAGAGACAGAGAGAATAAATAGAAAGGTCTATACATATTCTACTTGTCCCCTCATGTATTATAATACACGGAGACATTGATACCCGTTCCGATAACATTTATTTTACGTACAGATTTCCATCGATTTAAATCTTATTTGTAAAGGTATGAAGAGAGAAAACGAGTAAAAATGTGTAGCAATGATGTTGTACTTTACGTTCTTAATAAATTTTAAGAAATCAAAAGAATTAAAAAAATAAATAAATAAATAAAAGAAAAAAGAAAAAAAAAAGAAAAAACAGAAAAAAGGACGAAAATGCTAAATCAGATTTCACATCAGATTTTCGAGATCGTTCTATCGACGATGTTTATCAAATGTTTTGTTACTGTTTTAAACAATGAAGAAAATAAGAATGTTATGCGATAAAAATCTCAATTTTTACGGCTCCGATATGTGCGTATATACATCGTAAGATAACTTGCAATAAATAGATATCTAATAGAAACAAATAATGTTGATTCTAATGATAATAATAATAATAATAATAATAATAATAATAATAATAATAATAATAATAATTATTATAATAATAATAATAATAATAATAATAATAATAATATTAATATTAATATTAATATTAATATTAATATTAATATATATATATAATATAATTAATAATAATAATAATATTAATAATAATAAGGATGAGGTTTTGGTAGACGCATTTTTCTTTCCTCCATATTTCAAATGATAATAATTATAATGAACGTGTACGCATCAATAAAATACTTTTGTAGAATATACCCACATGGGGGGAGAGGGGAGGAACGTACGTTATATATCAAAACCGCTAAACTTATTTGACTAAATATTCACGACCGATACACAGCATTATTTATGTATAAAATTCGCAAATGTTTCTAACAACATGTTTCTTTCACGATTGGTAAACTTTCTTTTCTTCTTTTTTTTTTATTACTAAAATAAAATGTTAGACGCTGCATTATTAGATAAACTACACATGGTACACATGAAAGCGTAAAAATGCTTACGAGCATATTATTATTCATTTATAACATTTTCTTCTTTTAACGCGCTCTGTATTTCGAAAATATCTAAAAAATAATGACATAGTTTTCTTCGTAAAACGATTATCGTGACGTATGCAATCCGTATATAAGAAAAAATCTAAGGCGAAGGCCGAGCAATAATGTAATTTGTTCGATCAAATTAGTACATATATAATAAGAAGGGAACGGGGGCATAGAATTTTAGACGGAGAGAAATACAAGTTTAGTTTTTTTTTCTCGGCATAAGGAAATATCTATACTGCGTAATTCTACATACGCTTCGCCATTTTTAATTGTGTGAAACATTGACTTTAAATAAATTCCAATTTCAAATGTATTCTACTTTCTCATTTCTATGTGTCGTTTTACACTGCATTGTATACCATAAAAATATCATTATCCCATAATTTTTATCATTTTTTTTTTTGTAAATCTAATAGTATATCATTTCTGTCGTTTATATACGTGAGAGATTATATCCCGAGAAAATGTATTTATCCAGCTTACGTTGACAAACGTTGAAATAAATACGCTTTACGAATCAACATCTCTTCTACTTTTTTCTTTTTCTTTTTTTCTTCTTTTTCTTTTTTTCTTTTTTTCTTTTTGATATTTGCGCTATGTGCACATTTCAAGAGAACGTTATAAATCGATGATAAATATTTTAAGTTATGAAACTTTGATTTCTAAACAGTGACTATCTGATATAAATAACTTAAACAGTCTTATTATAAATTCATTATTCATATCGAATTTTACAATTAAAACGGTAATATAATAAATATTTCGGATAATACGATCTTTCAAACGTCATTCTTCGCAACATCAAAATTGGCGAATAACTTGAATATGATATCATTTTTCATTTCTTTTTTCTTCTCACAGGTATCCCTATTAAAACAAATGTTTTCATCTTTTTATCACGAGGAATAGTAAACGAACATACATATGCGAATCCTAATATTTTTAAAGTTTTACTATGCATAAAGAATATAACTTCGTGTTATATGCGCTTCTTTCAAAAGTATCGAATCACGTAGATACCAAATCACACTTTTTATATATATATATATATATATATATACATATATATTATATATGTATATATATATATATATACATATATATTATATATGTATCAAGGCTTGCTAGTAGAGCATATTCAATCGTTAAGATGATACTAATTAATTATATCACTTTTAATGGAAATATCAAAGGACCTATACATTTTAGAACAACTCTTTTCAAAACTCGAATATCGCATAAATTTTCTTTTTTCCATTATTTTATCATACCGAAGCGCGTCTGTGACTTTAAAACAAGCTGGAAGCTTATTTAACTTATTTTTAAAGGCTTATATTCGTAAAGCCATTGTAGGCCCCATTTCATTTTTATTCAAAATGGAAGTATTTAGTCTACAAGATGTGATCCCTGATTAAAAATCCCTGTATATAAGGATTTCTCTCTCACAGAATATTAATCAAATTTTTATACATATCAAACCCCAATTTTCTAAACTGGTATAAGGGATATAATCTTTGGTTGCCCAAAAGTGACTATCGATGTATCCTTGATTACACTTATTTCTTTAATGGTTAAAAAACCATTTTATACATCATAACGTTCTTTATAAGATCTTATGTAAACTGCAACTATTCATTGGCCACTGCAAAATGACGTTGTCATAACGTTTCAATCAGTTAAACAAATTAACCTTATATCTCATTATCTGCATTCTATATTATCATTTTCTCTTTGTCAACGCACAAAGTAACGATTAAACTCTCTCATAAGAATTTCTTGTGTTACTTTTTATAAAATTTTTTTATTTTGCTAATAACCTTTAAACACAAGATTTTTATCAGTAAAATTTAAAAAAGAAAGGGAAATTAATTCTTTCAATTTTACGCACTGATATATACCGAGAGAGTATAAAATAGAAAGAATAAATGTATTTTTGCCACAAATATGTTACTCAGACAGTTTAAATCTGTGCTTTCTTTGCTACGTCACGTTATCTCAATTGAAAATACGTGAGCAAAATCAAATAAAATAGAAATATACAATCTCTACTTACTGATTTGGCCTTTTTTTTTGACAAACTAGTTTGTATTCAGAGTATCCTGAATATTAGGCTAATATAACGCTAGAAATCTTAAGGATTACACATCGAATGGCAATGATAGAAAAAAATAAGTTTTAGTCATTTATACTAGAAGTAAACTATTAGACAGGACAGAGCTGAATACGTATAATCAGGA